ATCACAGAAGTCCCTAATAAATTTTGAATACTGTCCTTGGCACTGTTGTGAAAATTGGGATTCTTACATTTTCTTCTCCCTTAGATCATAGTCAAAGGCTGGAATTGGATGGGTATAAACTTCACAGAGAGGTCTGGTGGCATAGTGTCTAAGACATTTGACTGCTAACCAGAGGGCTGGCAGTTCAAACCCACCAGCTACTTGGAAGGAAGGTTGGGCAATCTACTTCCATAGTGATACTGCCTTGGAAACCCAAGACGGGGTCACTATGAGTTAGTTCCGACTTCTTGGCAGTGGTTGCTTGCAAACTGCACAGATGAGGTATACTTCCAATTTATTTAGGTAACTGGATTTCTGCTTCCTATTCTTTTATTAGCCTACAATGGCTACAATGTGTATAGCAAATGTGCTATTTGTTGCACTGTTTTTTTAAAAAAGCTAATTGGTATTCCTGATACTATGAAAAAAAGGAAAGAGTAACAATATTAGAGGCTCAGATTAAAAACATGGAGAAGTCAAAATAGATTTGATTTTATATTTCTAAGGATTCAGTCTTATACAATTTTTGCTAAATAGCTTTTAACAATTTTAAAAATTTATATTTTTGCCAAATAGCTTTTAACAATCTTTAAATTTCACGGTTCTGAAGGACTAAAGTGTGTCTAGCTTTTACCTTTGTTGCATGGCTTAGAACAAATTTGGAAACAACTGGCTCTAATATTTTTTATGACTGGATAGATCTTTATTAAAAATGAGAATGTTACTAATGTCATCTATCTTAGCAAAATGTGTAAAGGTTATATATATATGTGTGTGTGTGTGTGTATATAAATATATATATAAGATATATAGATGGCTGTATCTCAGGGAAATGGCTCACAGTTGTAGAGGCTGGCAAGTCCCAATTTCGTGTGTCAAACATCAAGCTCTGGAGGCTTTTCCTGACTCACATAGCTGCAAGGGCTGACAAACCCAAGATCAGTGGGCAGCACAGCAGGATCCAGATCCAAAAAAGTTCCCGAATTTTCTTAGGATGTCCGTATATATACTGGAAGCAGAGCCCACCCCTAAGGAAACTCCCTTACAACTGACTGGCTGCTCAAAGCATGTAACAACATGGAGGTGACTGCTTTATGTAAGACCTCATAATGGTAATGACCACACCACAACTGCTTAAATTACCACTCAGAATCATGGTCCAGCCAAGTTGGCACACAGCCTTAACTACCACATCATCAAAAGCCTTTTTCTGAAATATCATAGTTAAAATATATATATATACATATATATATATATATATATATATATATATATTTTGTTTTGTTTTGTTTTGTTTTTTAAAGAATATTTCAAATTGATATTATAGCACAGAGTACCTTTGAGAAGTGCCTTTTCAGAAGGTGAATTTTACTATCATTGATTTTGGAAACCAAGATTTGGCTCTGACTCCTGTAAAGATTGTCCTTTCTTGAGGTTTGTCCTTGAAAAAAGTTTCCTGAAGATGTACACACTTCCTATCTGAATAAAAGAGCTTAAGGAACCCTTCAATGCATTACTGTGTACTTTATGTTTATTAATCTTAATAGCAAAAACAAATATGTATTCTGAGTCTTTTTTCTTTAAATCCCTGTAAGATAATGATACTAAAGAAAGACAGAAATAGAGTCATATTTCTTTGCAGTACAATATATCATGGCATATGTATTCTTTGAGATAGATGTTTATATTAAGTCAACTGTAAAGTATATACTTTGTTCATCTTGGATCCTATGTCCTCATTTATTTCTTTTGAACATTTAAAGTGTATTTAATGTTATAAAATCAAAAAAACCAAACTCACTGCTGTCGGGTCGGATCCGACTCATAGCGACCCCTCCTTGGATTTCCAAGACAGTATCACTGCAGAAGTAGATTGCCCCATCTTCTTGTTAGCAATCAGATGCCTTAGGCACTATGCCACCAGAGCTTCTATTTGTGTTACAGATCCTTTATATAATAGTATACTTCTGGATTCTCAGGAAAAATTCCCTTGTTGTATATGCTGACTTTCTCTTGGTAGTGGGTTTTCTTGGCTATTTAGGCAACTTTGTCAGTATGAAATTCATCCCCAATGGATTATTAGACAAGAATCAAGGGCCCTGCAGTTCAACTACATCATTCTGAGGCTGTTTTTACAACTCATAGCAACCCCTCTTTGGGTTTCCAAGGCGGTATCTCTACAGAAGTAGATTGCTCAACCTTCTTTCTAAGGAGTAGCTGGTGAGTTTGAACCGCCAGCCTTCTGGATAGTAGTCAAATGCCTTAGGCACTATACCACAGAGCTCCTCATTGTAACCTGTTGTTGATATGTGCCTTCGAGTCAACCCTGACTCATAGTGAGCCCTCCTTTGGTTTCTGAGGCAGTATCACTACAGAAGGAGATTGCCCAACCTATGTTCTGAGGAGTGGCTGGTGGCTTTGAACCTCCAGCCTTCTGGTTAGCAGTCAAGTGCCTTAGGCACTATGCTACCAGAGCTCCTTAGCCATAGTCTATTATTTGTTAATTTCAGAATTCTGTTGGATCATCTTTCTTTTGTTACCAGAGCCTAAGCAGTGTAATTATTGGCCTGATTTTACTCTAGTGATTTTTATAGCCCAGAGAGGGGGTAGCTTCCTTCGAACTATCATCTTGGCAAGGCAACAGAGAATTTTTTTATCTTTGCATACAAGATTATGTTCTGTTTTTCCTAATTCATTACTTCATCTTGGAAACCCAATTCCAAATCCCTATTATGCACAAATTCTAAACCAGAGACTCTTAAGTTGTGCTTTTTGCTTCCAGTAGCCTTGTAGAGTTAACTTCAAGTTCTGCTCTTTATATTGTATCTTCTTAATTTCTAGTACCTGGAAGTTTCCGTTTCTTTCAATTCACTGATGTATTTTAAAAATATATTTGTCTTTTTTCTTTAAGATTATGTCAAACATTATGTTTTGAATTAAGAGGGAAAATTTCTGTGTCTGTGCATCCTGACTGAATGTCATAGTTTATTATCTCTACAAAATAAATATAATATAGAATATCCCCAAATCCTTGTTCATCTGTGTTGAACGTTACTTCATGTAGGTATTCACGTGATGTATAATACATTGCATTTTCTAGTAGTTGAATACTCATGACTAGATGAATAATGATTTCCAATTTAATTTCTTGATCTTTAGCTTCACAGTTTAGAATATGAAGCAAAAATGAGACATTTAAGAATTTAAAAGTGGCTTCCAGCAGACATAGACCAAGTTCATGTACACTAAAAATATTAAGCTTATATGTGAAATCATTTAATTGCTTAGGCCAGAAAGAATTGATGAAACTACCATATTATGCAATCTTTCTTGTACCTTAAATTTATTTTTTTAATGTTAGAAGAGTAGTAAGCAAATATGAATCATGTTTTCTCATATTTAGTTTATTGTATTCCTATACAGTTTTGAATTTTGCTAATGGCAATTGAACATATATCTTTGAGTTTAACATATTTGGAAAAAGAAAGGTAGAACACTACTTACATGTTAATCAATATTGACAGTTTAAAAAGCAAACATGTATGACTTAAAATAAAGGTTCTGCACCCATTATAAATAGGAAGCATTCCTGGGAATAGAAATATGACTAAAAATACTGAGTGCTTCAAGAAGTATGTCCTTGGATATATACTTTATAGATTTATTGTTGTGTTTTCTTAAAGGAAGAAATTCCTCTTCATAGTTACTATGTTGATTAAGTAACATAGTTCATGAAATATAACCAGTTTTTTCCACTGTGAAGTAGTGAACGCTTGCTTTTGTGCATGAAGACAATTTGCAGTATTTCCCTAGCTCATAGTGTAAGAAGCTGATTTTATTGGAATATTAACCTTTTCAGCTAGTTAAACAAGGGCAAAAGTTCTGTAAACAAATAAAAAATTACTGTGAATTTTATATTTTTCTAAGTTATCTGACTTTTTTTTGTAATGCAGTCTTTAGATGCTTTTTTTAATTCTGTTTTTCTTTAGTGTAAATAAGTTGAGAAGGGATATTTATTAAATTCTAACATTACAGCAATTATAACTTTGAAGAAATCTTGAAATAAAACGTATTTGGGTTAAGCCTCAAAGTATTTCTTTTGAATATCAGACCTATCTATGTATTTTGCATTTAAATAATGTTGAGTTATATTTTTCAAAATGTCAAATCCAATGTAATGTTTATATTAAATTTTATAATTTAAGTATTTCCATTTCACTAGCTAAAACATTAAAATGATTACTGGGTACTTGGACATTTTGCAGTAGTCCTTTTATGATAAGATTATTTTCTAATTTCCTCAAACTAATTTTAAAAGATCCTGGGAAGTAGCAATAATATTTAAGATCTTGTAAAAAATTATCTTAATTTTAAAGGTTACATATATGTGTCCAGTTTGGGCATAAGCTTCTTTTAAGAGTTAAATGTAAAGGTGTTCTTTAAAGCATGCATAGTTGGATAATTTTTAGACTGCTTTTGAAAGAAGAAAATTTACCTTGTTTTTATAGGCTTTGGCTTTATAGTGTTTCCAGACTTAGAAGTTGTTCTGTTAAGGTTTTTTTTTTAAATTATTTCTTCTAAAGTTGATTTTATGAATCTGTTTTTATGAATCTGTTTCAAAGAGCTCTAAGTCTAGTTTAAATCTGAAAAATAACACATAAGTTCAGTTTTCTGTGGAGCTATTTTTAAATGTCACAGTACAACTGGATTTCAGATTATGAATTGTTGTTGTTGTTAGGTGCCATCGAGTTGTCTCTGACTCATAGCGACCCTATGTACAGCAGAATGATTATGGGTGGCTAACTTTAAAAAGTTTAAAAAAAAAAATTACTTACCTTTCTGTTTTGTTAACTCAGTTGGTTTTCCACCTGCCGAGTTGTAGTTCTGCCTTTGAGAGGAAATCTGAATATCATTTACTGTAATGTTTTGATCAAATTATTTAAATCTCCATCCTATAGCTCATAGGCTAATTTCTGAACAGTTTTCATAAGGCTAGCTTAACTGCAAGCCAAATAATGAGGTCAAATAAGTTGGAGATAAAGTTGTTCTTTTGCTGTTAATATCATACAAGAACAAATAGCTTACTTCACACTTGGAAAATCCGGTTGTACCTGTTTGAAGCCCATTTGTTAGCATAAAGGAAGATCATTTTCATTGGAGCTAGTTGGTAACAGGAAGTCCTTGTTAAACTACTTACATAGAGTGTTTGGCCCAGGTTCTGTAATTGCAGTCATCCATTATATACAAAATACATTACCTAAAAAAAATGGAAGGTTAGGCAATCCTACTTCCGTAGTGATACTGCCTCGGAAACCCAAGGAGGGGTCGCTATGAGTCGGGGCCGACTCGACAGCACGTAACAACAACAACAACAAAAAAAATGGGTTTGCATTTAAACAAAGATTGTTTTGTTTAGTTATCAAAACTTGCTAAAAATATAAAATTTGGGATAAGAAAGGAAAGAACTTAGTGTGAAGGTTTTTATGGATCCATTAACTTTAAAATGATCATATTCTTTACTATTTTAGAAAATCCTTCAGGGCTTAGCATATAAAATCCTCGAATTTCAGAACCAGAATAGCCAGAAACAAGAGGGGGAGGGGGGTGGGAGTGTGCAGAATCTTCCACCTCACTTTTTACTATGCATGCTACTTTCAAATTAATTTTCTTCCATAGTTTTTTTTTTTGGATGTTGGGGAGTAGATTTTTTTTTTTAATTTTTTTTATTAGGATTTGGGTGAAGATTTACAGAGTAAATTCACTTTTCATACAGCAGTTCACATATACTTTGTCTCATGTCATTGACCAAAATTTACAATGCAGCAGCTCCCCTCCCACTTCCTCCCCATAGTTACCTCCTCCCAGTGTCCATCCCTTCATACTCTTCTGCACCCTGAGCTATCTCCCTGTGCCATAGTTTTTAATATAGAAAAACTAAAATTATTCAGCAATATATACAACAATCTAAAAATTCAAAATATTACCAGGGAGAAAATATTTGTAAGAAAAATTAGAAATGAAATTTCTCTCATCAAGTTTTCTTTACCCCCTACCTTTTATTCTTCCTGAATTATGATAGCTTTTTTAGAAAGGGAGATAGAGAGGCATTGCTATAATGTCTATCTAAATAACATTTGCATTTATTCCTTTGACTTAGTAGACTTCTTGTAATCTGTTCCCAAAATAAGAAATTACTTTTAACCATACCTGTTAATCACAGCATTCTTTGTGAAAACAAAAGACTGATAACAACCCCAAAGTCCTTCAGTATAAGGCTGGTTGAATAAATAATAGAATATTTATGTATAGGAGCATTATACACTGCTACAGGGCAAATTTACTATACAGTTAAAGAAAATAAAGACATGGTAGAAGAGTATTATGGTATGCTAGCTTTTGAGGAAGAAAAAGAGTGTAGCTATAAATATTATATACAGATATGGATATAGATATTGATATATTTATAGAAGGAAAGACAAGTCAATAGCAATAAGAATTCATAACACTCAGATTGTGATCTTTAAAATACCATTTTCCTTATATACTTGTTTATATTTTAAAAAAGAAATAAAGGAGAGATACACTAAAAACTTAGCAAAATTGTCACCTATCGGAGAATGGAGGGAGTAGGGAGAAGAAAAGGGACAGAGAAGTAAGAGAGTTCTTTCTGAATGGCCTTGTTTGTGTACTTTTGAATTTGGACCTATATAAATATTTTAAAGATGACATCTTAAAAAAAAAATGACAGCAACAAGAATTAACTCTAAAAAACTAAGCAACCTAGAATAATTGAATCTAGCTATGGAACTTGATGGTGGCATAAACACACAGAGAAACATTTAAAAAAATTAATTAAAAAACTCAGTATATTGACTATTCATGTCTAGGCAGATGTTTTAGAGATAAAGATAACCACAAAGAGATCTTTGCTTGCATTCAGTAGTCTTCTTTTTAGTAATAATTTTGTTATTATTATGTTGAAACTTTCCTGTATATTGCAGAACAAAGGAAATAATTATGGTAATGTTAGGATCTCTAATTTTCAATGGAAAAAAATGCAAATAAAATCTAAGACTTTGTCATTGCTTGATAATATTTGATTTGAAAAGGAAAAATCAATATTGTAATTTTTGTTTTTTCCTACAAGAACTACATATTTCCTATCTTTGTCGGCTGAAAGGGTCTGGAAGCAATGTTGTTGGTGTTAGGTGGTAATGAGTTGGTTTTAATTCATTGCATCCCTGTGTACAACAAAACAAAACACTTC